GACACTGAGGGTTGCGATCCGTTGCCGGACACGAAAACAAAAAAAAGAGACAAAAAAAGGAAAAAAAAAAAATAATAAAATAAATAAATAAATAAATATAAATAAAAAGGTTTTTTTTTTCTTTTTGTCTTTTTTACTGACCGGTAATGGGATCGCAACCCTCGGTGTCGCGCCCGTACCGGGGACTGGCAACGGGATCACAACCCTCGGTGTTGCGCCCGCACCACGCTCAGCCAGTGAGCGGGAACCGGTCTCCACATGGGATCTGGTCTCCACATGGGATCCGAACCCATGGCGGGAGCACTGCCGCGTTCTCAAGCGGCGCACCCTCCAGTGCACCACCGGGCCGGCCCTAAAAAGTTTTTTTTTAATTGCAGTAAAATATAAATAACAGAATTTGCCATTCTAACCATTTTAAAGTGTATAGTTCAGTAGTGTTAAGCACATTCACATTGTGGAAAAGAATTCTGGAGATTGCTTGTACATCTTGAAAAACTGAAACTCTATGTCCATTAAACAATTCTCCATTCCTCCTTCCCCCACAGCCCCCGGCAACCACCATTCTACTTTCTGTCTATGAATTTGACTACTCTAAATACCTCATATCAGTAGACTCATACAGTATTTGTCTTTTTGTGACTGGCCTGTATTTCTCTTAGCATAATGTCCTTAAGGTTCATCCACATTATAATATGTCAGAATTTCTTTCCTTTTTAAAGCTGAGTATTCCACTGCATGTACTTACTACATTTCATTTATCCATTTATTTGTCAAGGGACACTTGGGTTGCTTCCACATTTTGGCTACTGTGAATAATGCTGCTTTGAACATGGGTGTACAAATATCTGTTTGGATCCCTGCTTTCATTTCTTTTGGGTATATACCAAGAAGTGGAATTGCTGGATCATATGGTAAGTGTATTTTTAATTTTTGAGGAATTGTCATACTATTTTCCATAGTAGCTGTACCATTTTACATTCTCTCCAACAGTATATGAGTGTTCCAATTTCTCCACATCCTCAACAACATTTGTTATTTTGTTTTTTTGACAGCAGTCATCCCAATGAGTGTGAGGCAGTATGTCATCGTGGTTTGATTTGCATTTCCCTAATCATTAGTGAGGTTAAGTATCTTTCATATGCTTATTCTTACCTTTTTTTTTAACCCTGTTCTCCACCATAGTATTATAATTTCCTTACTATGCAAATGAGACTCAAATCCACTGCAAGACTCCCAGACAAGATATGAAGCCCCTAAAATGATCACTTATTGCTAAGCCCAGAGAATCTGATCCCAGGATTTTATCAAAAGACCAAGCCTTCCCGAGCTCCCACCAACCTCTGAGACTTACCTGTCTGTTGGGAAAGAACCTGAGCAAAGAGCAAGTGCATCTTCCATTGGATCGCCCATGCTGTTCTCCTTCTCCTGCTTATTTAACTCTGATGTATCCAGAGTGGAGGCATCTATATCACAAGTAAAAAATTTGTCACTAAGGAATGACAGCATTATCCTCTTTTCCCAGCCATCTAAAGACATGCCAGCTCAATATAGTTCTAATGTAAACTTGCCAAAAAAGACCTCACCATCCATTCATTCCACAAATTCTTGTATAGTGCTTACTATGTGCCAAGCACCAGAGATACAGTAGTGAACAAAAGTTCCAGCTTACATTCTAGTAGGTGTGTGTATCCAGGGGGGCCAGGGAGGGGGCCACAGATGAACATAATAAGTTAACATTTATAGGAAAATTACTATACACCAGGCACTGTGGTAAGCTTTGTACATAGATTAATCATAAATGACATATATGGTCGAAGCTAAAGCAGTCTTAAGTTGGTACTTTACTACTCTAAGAAAAACGTCAGGGAGCTAAGCAGTGAATTCAATCTATGTGCAAGATCCCATCATAACCCTGTTTTCTGTGAAGTTTTTTTTTTTTTTTTTTCTTTTTGTCTTTTTTCATGACCGGCAACGGATCGCAACCCTCAGTGTCGTGCCCGTACTGGACCGGGACCAGCAACGGGATCGCAACCCTCGGTGTTGCGCCCGCACCTCGCTCAGCCAGTGAGCGGCCGGTCTGTATGTGGGATCCGAACCCTCGGCGGGAGCGCTGCCGTGCTTCTCGAGCGGCGCATTGTAGCAGTGCGCCACCGGGCCGGCCCTGTTTTCTGTGAAGTTTTCACCTGAGGGTTAAAAGGCTTCTTTTTAAGGACAGTGACTTAAGATGTTTGGCTGTGGTAAGCCTGATGCTCTCTGTTGGATATTTACCCTGAGAAGTGAATTTCCCTGAGCAAAGTTCCAGAAGTTCCTCCATGTTCTCTTTCTTGTCATTCTTTCTGGGTAGACGTTTTTCAGTCTGGGATGTAAACTTTCCAGTGCACAAATCCAACAGCTCATCCATGTTGGCATCCATCGCATTCTCATCCATACTGGCCAGTGGCAATTGAGGCTTCAAAGCTTGGTACTGATTCCTGTGGTTTCTAACATTTAAGAACCTACGAGCACAATGAATGGCATAAGAAATTCTCTAGAGACAAGCAAAGTAGTATGTAAAAAAAAACCCTCTGAATTCATTTCTAACACCAAAGTTAGAAGCTGAATCTCAAACCATGATACAAAAAATTCAAACTTTAGCCTCATTCTAATCTAAAGAGGAAGGGGTAAGTTTTGTGAAAGAATAAAATGCTATTCAAAAGGTAAAGTGTAAAAGATAATTTTTGGCTTCAGGTGATGCTAGAGTAGGGCTTGGTGTTATGTTCCGTAATGTGCCACCAGTCTGTGAATTCTCAATCTTATCCAACAATCAAAACATAGTAGGATGGATTCAGGAAAATTTGATGCTCTTATAATACAAGATCTATGCATTTCAAATAAGACAGAGATCAAATGATCAGTATATCAGCAAGAGCTATTTATATGTTATTTTCTGGAGAGACTTTGTTCAAACTTGTAGAAAGTGACACTAATGGTCTGTATACCTTCTCTTTCTCAGAACAGAAAGCACAGATGGAGGGACAGAAGCTCATTTTATTTTTAACAAAATTAAGCAGTACCCAGCACCATTCCCACCCACAGAAACACAAAACTACCTACCCATCTGCATCCAACAGTTGGCTCTGAGTGTCATCTTCTAAACAGAACTGGAAGTCTTCTGCTCCCAGGAAGAGTGTCTTAGGCTCTGGGGAGTCATTATACAAATCCTGGGAATCCTCTATGGGAAGTGAAGGCTCAGACAGCTTCCCTGAACTCTGGCATCAACACAAAAACAAACAATAACAAAACATTTTACAATTGTCATTCACTGTCCCGACAACATAAGTTGCTATTTGCAACATTTAATGGACTCTGAGGCAATTACAGTTGAGGAGGACAATGCACAGCCAAGAGAAACATAAAGAAAAATATCTCCAAGAAATTAAGGACTTTCTTGAAGCTTGAAGCTTGTTTTTAATACACAAAGGGGGTGGATTTTTTAAGCTGAACACACATAAGCTCAGTATCGATGTGGTGGGAGTTGGTTGACTGGGACACACTTTATTTAGCAATGTGGGAAGTAAAGGGAGGAGTAGATAAGAAAAACCATCACCACCTTACCTTAGAAGCTGAGCTGACCAAACTAGCTCGAAATAGCCCAGGGGAAGGAGATCTGAACCCTCCTGCTGTAGGGAAAAAACTGGTCCCACGTCCTGTTTGTCTGTTGCAAGGCTGATAGGATGGAATTGTGGAGCCAATCAGCTCAAAGCTGCTATTGTGGCTGCTCTCCTTTGTTAGCAATGAACATGAATCATCTTCATCTAAAGAAAGAGAAATGCCTTTTAGGTATATGATTACAGAAATAAGGTGGATTTGTTTAGAAAAAAGAGCTGAAGATGAAACTATTAGGTAAAAATTCAAGGCAAATCCCTCAAGTTATATGTTCCAAAACATTAAGTTAAAGGTAAACTACAATACTAAGATAGCATTGTATAATTAGGGTTTATTACTCTGGGCTAAGTGACACCTGAGCATTCTCTTCTTTCTGTCGCCCTGCAGAATGCCTAAGATCACTTTCTTCATTATTCAATCAATTATACCTCTTCCTTTGATCTACATATAGAAATATTTCATGGTTCACTCAATCAACACACACTCACTAGGGACCTACCTACTATATGCCCACAGTCCACTATAAATACATGCAAGATTCAAAAAATGAACAAGAAAAATATTCTAATTCATAAATCCCTTTCATTGCCACATGTAAGAATGGGAAAAGTCACTAAATTAAAAAAATGGAAACTTACAGAGTTTTAGTCATTAAATATCAAAGCTGGAGTCACTACTCACCCAGTTTGCTAGGCTGTTTGCCTGGGTTTTCATCTGTTTCTAATTTTTCTTCAGTAGGAAAGTAACTACAAAATAAGAAGGTAAATTGAGTATCTGTTCCTATTTTTTACTAGAAGAGCAAATCCAAGGGAATTTTATATTTCCTTTGAGAGAATTACTTACCCCATCTTAGAAGAGTTGTCCTTAAATAGAAGTAAGGTAGAATCTGATGAGAGAGGCTTGGGAACAGAGAGAAAGCCAACTGACTTGCCAATTTCACTACTGCCATCATTATTTTCTTTATCCGTTTCTTTCTCATCTTTGGTTTCTATTTCTTCACTACTAAGAAAGAATTCTGCAATCTTTAACAATCACACCACCAAAAATGAAAATAATACAAGTCAAAAAAATGTAAAAGCAAATACACTGTTGTTAACCTGAAATATGGATGCTTGGTTTACAGGTCATATCTTAAATCTGAAATAGTAAACTTGAAAAAAGCTCAATCTGACCATTATCAACATAATTTTCCCTAACCCTTCTTCCTTCCTTCCTTCCTTCCTTCCTTCCTTCCTTCCTTCCTTCCTTCCTTCCTTCGCCGGTCGGGGATCGCAACCCTTGGCATGGTGTGGTCTGCACCATGCTCAGCCAGTGAGCGCAACAGCCATCCCTATATAGGATCCGAACCTGCGGCCTCGGCGCTACCAGTGCCGCACTCTCCCAAGTGAGCCACGGGGCTTGCCCTGTATATTTATTTTATTGTACCTTTTACCCTCCCCAAGTTGCAACAAGATTATGAAGGAAGACTGTATTATCATTTTGAGGCAATAATAGGTTAAACAACTAGTCTAAGATTGCAGGATGACTATTGGCCTCAAACCAGATATGTGATATGCTGCCCAGCTCAGCCACTGCTTTCTTTTTCCTTTAACCAGGTTTAAATGTGAACCAACTATTTCAAGTAACCCCAGCACACAAGAAAACTTTTCAGTACCGAATAATCACATTATCACTTGGCTTTCCTGGGGAGAAAACAATACTATGGAACAAGGGCAAGAGGCCTTTCTACCAATACCCTCCTCAATAAAGAATGAAATTTACTCAGGAAGGCCTCTGCCTGCTGAGAATTTATTCCAGACTTCAACCTGGGCAAAGTTAAGATTACTTTCTAATCTGAATAGAGAAATCTAAATAAACAACAAAGATAAAAGTCCCTATTAATATGAAGCCATTTTCAATATTAGCGTTATAGTAAACATTTTAAACTAACAGGTAGAAGCCAAGGCTATGGCTCTGTGAACTGTAGGTGTGTTCAATGGTGCTTACAGAATTGAATGCCCTAAGATTTAGGCACACATGAGATAACTATCTTCATCCATGCCCCTAACATCTCAACTGAACTTGCTTATTATACCCATATTTAAATCTGGTTTTCTCTTTCTTATTCATCACAACCAAGTAACAAAAATACATAATTGCCAGAAACCTCTTGATTGCCTTCTTCTTCTTCTTCTTTCTCCTCCTCTTCCTCTAATTCTTCCTCCTCTTCCTCTTCTTTCTCTACCTCCTTTTCCCCATCTTCCTCAGACTCATCCGTCATTTCTTCCTCCTCCTCCTCCTCTTCCTCAAACCCATCCTCATTATCTAATTTAAATAGTGCTTGGCGCTTTTGGCGCTCCTCAAATCTTCGGAGTTTCATTGCCTCTTGCAGTTTAGCTTTTAGCACCTGAAGCTTTTCACCTGAACAGAAATATGTAAAAATTCTTTAGGCAAAATGGCTGAATATATAATATAATAAGTAAGTACGCATTTTAAACAACTCCTAAAGTGTTCTAGTCACATCCCTAAAGGAAAATCAGAGCCCTTAGTACTCTAGGTTTTTGTTATTTTAACACATGGAGATTATAATGAATTGAAGTGTAATAGAAAACTTCTATACCCTGGGATAATATATCCTTAGGAATTATAAAATAATTGTTTAAAAGGGGAAGAAAAAAGTGGGGGCGGAGTGGGGCCTCAAAAGTCTGGCTCAGAAGCCATGAAGAAAAACATTGATAAATTTACCTATATTAAAGAAAAAAAGAAATAATTCAAGAATAAAATGGGCAAAAAAAATATAAACTGGTAGCTGTACACAGAAAAATAAACATACTATATTAAAAAAATATTAAACATAATGCTTAACCTCATTTCCATTTTTTTTGCGGGGGTGGCTGCCTGGTACAGGGATTTGAACTCTTGACTTTGGTATTATCAGCACCACGCTCTAACCAAGTAAGCTAACCAGCCAGCCTTAACCTCACTTATAATTAGAGACATACAAATCAGAATAACAAGATACCATTTTTGACATATTAGTTTGGCAAAAATTGGAAGGTTTGATAATATCCATTATTATTATTTTTTTTTTTAAAAGATGACCGGTAAGGGGATCTTAACCCTTGACTTGGTGTTGTCAGCACCACGCTCACCCAGTGAGCGAACCGGCCATCCCTATATGGGATCCGAACCCGGGGCCTTGGTGTTATCAGCACCGCACTCTCCCGAGTGAGCCACGGGCCAGCCCGATAATATCCATTATTAACAAGAGAAAACAAGAACTCTGAAACACTGTGATTCAGAGTGTAAATTAGTGCAACTGTTTTGAAGGACAACTGGATGATATATTCAAAATTTGCCTCAATAATTCCACTGAAAGGAATTTTGTATTCAGATATACCAATATACATCTGGTACTAGGTTGCAACATCGTATGCAATAGCCAAAAACTGGAACAAAATGTCCATCAGTAGGAGTATAGTTAAATCATGCTGTATTCATTCAATGGAAAATCATGTAGCCATTGAAAGAAAGCCTTAAAAGCAATATAAGTATCCAAGTTCTTGAGTTAGGTGGTCTGGATTAGGCTGCTGGTACTACCACTTACTAGCTGTGTAAACTCAAGCAAGTGGTTTAACTGCTCTGCACGTCAGTTTCCTTGTATATAAAATAAGGATACTAATGTTATTTACCTCATGGGGTTGTGTGGATTAAATGAGATAAAGCATGTAAAGTACCTAGAGCAGTCCCTGGCAGACAGTAAATGTTCAGTGTCACACACATACACACAAAATGGTATATGCATAAAAATTTCCCTAAAAGGACACACAAAAAATGGTTAACAATTACCTTTGGGAAGACTAAATTTTCATTTGATACTTTTTTTCGGTGTTTTAATTTTTTTTCCGTGTGATATATTACCTGTATTCTCAAGGTGGGTGTAGGAACAGCAGACCTGTCCCTAATACATTGTTAAAATAAAAAAGCAGATTACAAAATAGAATGCATTATTGGGTTTTTAAAAAAATATACATACTCATACATGCAAAGAGAGTTTAAAAGGACAGACTAATAGGTTTATAGAATTTATCTCTGATAGAGGAGGATTAAGTTTTTTGCTTACCCTTTCTATGTATTTTCTATAATGAACACTAATTGTTTTTTACAAGACAAACGTTATTTTAAGAAATAAAGCCATCTCGCAACCCCCCATCTCTAGGTGTGCTATATGTGAATCATGTCAGAGGTACTGCTGTCCAATCTCCAAAGTCTCCAAAGAAAAAGATGCTATAATTTTTTACTGTAAGATCTTTGATAGTCATGAAGACCTGCCAGAGTACAAAGTGAAAAGCAAAAAAAGGGCTGGCCAGTTAGCTAAGCTGGTTAGAGCATGGTATTATAACACCAAAGTCAAGGGTTCAGATCCCTGTATGGGCCAGCCACCAAAAATAAAAAACAAAAAACCCACCACTACCAACAACAAAAAACTGTGGAATCAAATACCTGGTTTTGCGTAGCTTGTTCCATCCAGCTTCTCAGCTGCCAAAGTCACAGGCACCACTTCGGGCTTTAGCTCTTCCTTTCCATCAGTGCCAACGTCTTTCACTATGATGTTCACATTCACCTTCTGACCAGCCCTGGGTTTAGCTCCTGGGTTAGCATGCTTCCAGAAACGTTGCTTCAAGGCTTCCAGTTCTAAACCCAAATGCCAACCAGTTTGTCAGTTTGCAATGCTCGAACTCTTTCCTTTAACATTCCAGTTAAGAATTATAAGCTAAGTTTTTTAGCTCAACAATGTTGAGGAAAAAAATACACACACCAAGAGAAACCAAAAGCCCCTTTGTTACTAAATCCTGTGTCAAATTCATACAATTTAAACCAAACTAATGGACTGCTGTAACTGTTCTTCCCCAATATGTTTCAAAAGTCAGACTTTTAAGATAGAAATTTACAACTGAAATTTCTAAATATGTGCAATTCTTTAAAAAAGTATTAAACTGGTAGAAAAAAATTCCATAATTCTCAGCTAATAAACAGCTTAATTTTTCATGGTTTTATTCTCCTTTTCTTAATTCCCTATTTTGAACATTTCTCTATTGGCAATCTTACTAAACATAGGCAGGGTCAATTAAAAAAAAGGAAAAAGAATATAACGATCAATCCAGTCAATGATGTAACTCAATGATGCAGCAGGACTAGAAGAAGTTTTTGGTGAAACTGCTATACTAGTACAATTGGTACAAAAAGAAAGGAAATCCCACTTACAGGTAGTCCTTGTACCACACACCCAACCTGTATACAAATGGGAATATATACATACTGGTAATAGTTAAGTTCAGCAGTCCAGTGGCAATAGAATCTTTCCCCCCTTCCCTACCGCTACAGCTGAGAATTTCCTTCTCCTTTCTCCCTCAGTCAGCTGCTACCTGACACCATCTCAATACTTCATACCATACTAGGATCTGTCGTGAGAGAGCTGGCAGTTACAAAGAGAAAGGAAAGGAAAAGGAGAAAAACTCCTTTGGGGTTGAGGGACACTTGATATTTTCATGTGGCCTTCTCCTCTTCCATGATAAAATGTCTAAGATACTCCAAGTTTGGTTAATTTTCTAAAATGCGCTCAAATCATACTTTGGTAGTTTTGCGATTAGCATCTAGATGTGTTTTTTCTTTCCCTAAAGGGTCTTAATGGAAAAAAAAAATTGGAAGAATTTTTTTTATCCTGAGTCCCTAACACGATTGGCAGCAAAAACCCAATTCCAAAGGATAGTATGTTTATATTACAAACAAAAGAGTAGGGAAAGAAGTCCCCCTCCTATTTTGCAGCAGTTCAGTAAAGTCAGAAGCAACAGGTGGTGGCAGTGGAAAGGAAACAGAAATAGGCAGATCTCTATTGGTGCCAACAGAATTTTAAAAATGGTTGGGTAAAAAGATTACCTGGGTCCTAAAATAATAGTGAGGCAGGAATGTCTTCACTCATAACTGGAGAAAGCTAAAACCTCAAAGCTCTTCATCCCCCAACCCACTGAAGCACCACTTTCTTTGTCCTTTATTACATGACTCAACCATCACCCTTCTCTTCCTAAAATCCGTGTTCTAGCTCCTTTCCCTCCGTCAGATCAGTCTTTTCCCAGCACTTCTTGTCTCCTCTCTAAGTGAAAAGTTTCTGCCCAACTCAAGTCTCTACCAATAGCTTGGATCTACAACTGTTCTCATTCCCATTGCTTAGTCCAGAAAGAGGAATTAGAGGCAGAGATTATTCCCTATGCTATTGCGAGGAACAAGAATAATATATTTCTGACACTACAAAGTTTAAATCTACATGCATTTTCTCATGGAAACCTTATTCTATATATAACAGTAGAAGCAGCAACTGTTGAATGCTTCTTTATGCTATCCATTTGTATGCATTACTTTAACAAATCTTCACTATAGCCCCTGAGCCATATAGTGCTTATTTCATTTTTAAAAAAAAGATGGCTTGTAGAGGTCAAATAGCATACCCAAGGTTAAACAATTAGCAGTATAATTCAGTTTCACACCCTGGTCTCGTGACAGTCTAAGCTGTTCACCACCATGCATACTGCCTCAACACAGAGGAAGTACCCAGCTCTCCCTAAGAGTCAGGAAATGTACTCAGTGTGATAATACTTGAGTTCAATGTTAAAGGATCGTTCATTCACTCAATAAATACAAATGCCTACAATGTATCATCCACTGAGGAAGCACTAGAAATAGAGTAGGGAACAAGACAGGAGGATAACAGTGTAAAGGAAAGGCAATGAACAAATAATTATATCCAGCTACTCTTCAAGTCTTCCCTTAACCACCCACTGGAAGAAACTTATCCCTCCTCTGAACTCCCATAGCATTTTATTCTAAATGTTCCTTTCAGAAAAGAAGACTTTTCCCTTTACTTCATATTATTTAATTTTTTCCAATTATCAATGACATATGTTCATTATTAAAGATGTCACCACTTTCTCATTTGCCTTACTGTTGTTTGTATACTTATCTCCCCTACTAGAGTGTATGAATCTTAAGTATAGGACAAACGTCAGGTTCATCTTGGTATGCCTTATAGCATCTTGCATGTAGTAGATACTTTAATATTTGTTGAACAAGTGGGGAGAAAAAAAAAATTCAGTTTTGTAGACAATTTAAGTGAACCAAAATGTTCCTCTTTAGCTGTAAAAAACTGAACGTTTTTATGAATGTCTTAAAATTTGACACAGAATCATGGACAAACTTAGAATTTCAGGATGGGAAGGCAGGAATAAATTCCTAAATATCATAACACAACAGCAATGTACCTTTTTTGTATATTAACTATTAATAGGCTTCCATTTTAAACAGATCATTATGATACCCTGCCCAATTTATCTAAATGGGATTCTGCCCATATCTGGTATATCTGTAGAATAAGATCATGTGTGGTTATTGGTTTCTCCTGTGTTTCCTGTCCTCTACACTGACAAATAATCAAAAGCTGCCAGGATAAATCATTCCAGGAAGGCTCCCCACAATTTAAAGAATTACCTCTGTTGGTTTCAAGTTCATCAAGTATCACAAAGGAATCTTCATCAGCACCCAGCCGAGGTTTAATGGAAACATCTACTCCCAGTTGCTTAAGTCTATCCAGAGTGAACCTTCTCACTTTTTCAGGTGGCACAGCTGCTGCTGATTTAGTTGGCTGCCCGAGCTCTTCCAGTTTCTCACCTGTTTCTCCTGTTTTTTTCAGGCCTTCTTCTCCCTTCAGGGCATGAGGATCAAATGCTACAAGCCCTCCAGCCTGATTCTCCTCACTGTCCTTGTTCCTGATGAAGCCGGATTCCTGTTGTGACACTGAGCTGTCCCCAGGTGAAGGTCTAACATCACTCTGCTTCTGTTTCTCCTGAATTTCTAGCTCTTCACTTCTCACCAAATCCTTACCACAAGACTCATCTGATACAGTAGTGATGTGGGATTCCTTTGAAACAACAGGGAGTGCATTAATTTCCTTTTCATATTCTGCACCTGTTGTCTTCTCAGAACCTTTGCTATGGTGGTCACTATTCATTTTTGCAGGGTCTATGATTTCTTTGTGATGGCTTGACTGATACTTAGATGACCTAGAGAAGGGAAAATGAACTGGAGTTGACAATTATGCTAAATGTGAAACATTCTCATCCCTTAGCACACAATGAATCAGTTAAATCAGTTTTTTGTTTTTTTTTTTTGGTCTTTTTTTCGTGACCGGCAACGGATCGCAACCCTCAGTGTCGTGCCCGTACCGGACCGGGACCGGCAACGGGATCGCAACCCTCGGTGTTGCGCCCGCACCTCGCTCAGCCAGTGAGCGGCCGGTCTGTATGTGGGATCCGAACCCTCGGCGGGAGCGCCGCCGCACTCCCAAGCGGTGCACTGTAGCAGTGCGCCACCGGGCCGGCCCAGTTAAATCAGTTTTAAGGGACTGAGGTACATCACATATTTGCTACCAAAGAAAATATTCACAAAAATTATAATCACAAGGAAAGGGTTCTTACTTCAGTAGCGCCATGGCATTTCCCTGGCAAGTGGGCCGGGGTTTACGTTTGAAGAAATCATGAATGGTTTTATTCTCAGGCATATGATATGGAAGATTAAGTGCAGACTCTATAAAATGGAACAAAACAAGCAAATACATATACTGTATATTCTGAAATGTTACTTCATATTCAGTTAACCAAGTAGTATAACCAAAGCCACCACCGGAAACAGAAAACAATCCTGCTTTTAACAAAGAAGCTAAGAAAAAAAGAGCTCCCTGAAGACCAGTGGTTTTTTAACCTAGTCATAAAATCAAAATGATCCAGGAAGTTTTTTGGAAATACAGATTCTTGGATCCCACTTCAAAACTGTTGAATCAGAATCTCTGTGAGGCCTAATAGTTTAAATATTTGAAAACATCCCAAAGGGGATCTTGATGTAATCAGTCCATTGACAACCATTAACATACTTCCTCCTTACCTCCACTACAGTTCTGGAAATTTTCTCAGACTATACTAACGTTCCAAAGGCTTTAAAACAATGGCCATTCACCAAGATCAATTCTTTTTTGTTTTTTTTCCTTTTTGTCTTTTTTCGTGACCGGCAACGGATCGCAACCCTCAGTGTCGCGCCCATACCAGACCGGGACCGGCAACGGGATTGCAACCCTCGGTGCCGCGCCCGCACATCGCTCAGCCAGTGAGCGGCCGGTCTGTATGTGGGATCCGAACCCTCGGCGGGAGCGCTGCTGCGCTCCCAAGCGGCGCACTGTTGCGCCACCAGGCCGGCCCACCACCAAGATCAATTCTGAACTTGGTATTATAATCTGACTTCACATTAGGAGCGTTAAAAAAACAAAAATTCCAAACAGACAAGTTGAGTTTACAAAGAAATACTGATTTGCTTCAAAGTTTACCATAGGGATTTGCATTACCTCGAATAAGGCGCTGAGTCTCACTATGCAGTTTTTTTAACGCTTCCTTACTTAACTTGGCTGCCTTCCTTTCCTTAAAGAAAACAAAAAGTGAGACTACGTTAATGACATTATCCAAAAAGATATACATCTTTCAAGAGTTTGTTCTCTGCAAGAAAAGAAGAGAGAGAATAGAAACACTAATAAACTCAGTACAATATAAATTCAGAGAACTCATTTATTTGTAGGTCTCAAAAATTAACTCAAGACAAATCATATATGTGTTCCTACTATGTACAAAGCAATATGTAAGGTACCAGGAAAATATAAGAGACAAGATAAAATATTTATCCCTGAGAAACCCACAATCTCCTGTGGTAAAAGAGCAATGTGACTACTATATTGGGCTCTACCTCACCTTCCTCACGGTGCCTTTTGATAACTCACTTTCTTCTTCAAATGAATAGACTCCACTCTCCAAAGACAGTTCCTTTTTCTAAAAGAGATTGCAAGTTGATTTTTAGAACAAAAACTAAACTCAAATAAGAGGATGTTTCTTATTTGAAGACCACTTTTGTATCCCAACATCACATCATGCTGCATTATAATAAATCAATAATTATCCAATAGACATTTTTAAATGTACAGCACCCTATTATACTTAGAAAACAGACATCTCAAATGCAGCTTGGACCCTCATTTCTTACATCTCTGCTTACATCTTTCCCTAAGGAGGGACAATGACTCCCAGGGAGCTAAAGAAAATCTTAGGAAGAACAATTATGCTTCCAAATACTCAAGACAACAATGTTTTGGCTGTTGCTTCCTGAAGTTCTATAGCGTTAATTTCTCGGAGGCCACAGGATTGTAAAATTTACATCTCTGCCCCATTATTTACCTGCTTCTTACCACAACATAAAGTATCTTACTTTTTTCTCCCAACATTCCCAAAAGGGCAATAACAAAGTACTAGTTTCCAAACAAGTTAGCATGTCTGTCACTTGTACTGAGTTTCCAAAATTAACAGCTGAAAAACTTAAATAAATTGACACGTTTTTCTTCGGGGAAAAAAAAAATTAAGGTTGTAATAGTAAATCAAAAAATAAAGCAAAGGTTAGAAGCAGTTGATTAGCTCTTGTTGCAATCATGCTTTACTTGCCGTGTGCTTTTTTACTTTGTTTTTCATAGCTGCCCTTATTGATTCTAATGAGTCTTCATCTTCCAATGGAGAGTTATTTTCTTCCTCCAACCCAGTTTCAAAAAGGTCTTTATCCACAAGAAGACCGCCACTTTCATTAAATGGCCATTCAGCATCATCTACCTGGATAATGCATAAAGAAAAAGCATAATCCAAGCATTTTTAAACCCAAGCAATATTTCACAACATCATATGGAAATTTGGATCAGGTCAGAAAAAGTCCATGTTTCAGGTCAGACAGTATATGGCATCCAGAAAATTCTCACTGGTTCCTAACTCACAGTTATCCTTTGAAGTCCAAGCTATGATTTTATGCAACTGTCCAAAATAAACCTAATGAACAGTAAATGTTTTTTTTAGAAAGGTAAATAAAATAGGGCCGGGCCGGTGGCGCACTGCGCTAGTGCGCCGCTTGGGAAGCGCAGCAGCGCTCCCGCCGAGGGTTCGGATCCCACATACAGACCGGTTCCCGCTCACTGGCTGAGCGAGGCGCGGGGGCAACGCCGAGGGTTGCGATCCCGTTGCCGGTCCCGGTCCGGTACGGGGGCGACACTGAGGGTTGCGATCCATTGCCGGACACAGAAAAAAAAAAAGACAAAAAAAAAAAGAAAGGTAAATAAAATAGCAACTAGTTTATAAAACTCGAGGATGGTTTTTCTAGTTAGCAAATAAAACTTCTGACTGATGGATGCATATAAAAAATCCTACTCTCAAAGTTAATTTTCATCATATCAGAAGCAGCAAAGACTTAGTCCATGTGCTCATAATGAAAATCAGAAACCCACTTATTTGGAAGTGTCCTCTGCATATCCAAAATGGAGAATAAGACCAATAAGTTTTAAGACATATACCCCACTACTCTCAGTGCAAAACAGTCCATTTAAAACAATATTCTGAGTGCATAAACAACCTCAAAAATTAAAAGCAACTTTTTCTACAATGTTGTTCTTCCTGGAAAATGGCAAATTATTCTTTAAAATGTACCTCATTTTTTGTTTCCTTCTTTTTTAGCTGCCTAATTTTTTCCACCTTTCTCTCCTCTTTCTCAAGTCTTCTCTTTGATTTTACTTTTGCTTTTCCTCTAGTTCCTTCTTTATCACATATGGGTTTTTGAGAAATCTTTCTGTTAGTGGTAAAGTCCACAGAGTTTCCAGATTGAAGACTCAGTTCTAAGCAAGGTGTCACTTGGGTTTCAAGATTTTCCTTATACAAAGACTCTTCCATGTCACTGTCATCACTGTCTGCCAGAGTTTTGTAAATCCTTTTGATTTTTCCATTTTTTCCAGCATATAAATTCTCCTTATTTTCCTCCTCCGCACTGTCATAGGTAGTTTCTTCTGGAGAGACATTTGTGTCAGAATCACTGTCTTGTAGCACCTTCCTGCTTTTCAATTTTTTACTCACAAATATCTCCTCATCTGAATCTGGAAGAAACAAACATTTTTTAAAGGTATACAATCATCTGGCCTTCCTCCTAGTCCCACTCCTCCTCAAAAATGTATTCATTTATACAAGTGATATATCACCTTGTGACATTATGTAACTAGCACTAAGAACTGATTGTAGCAAAGCAAGTCTACAGATACATTTTAAAAAAACATTTTCCCTGGAAATATGTCTCTTACTGAGAAGTGTAATTATACATATTTACAATGTGTAAAGTTGTTCTAATCCTTCTGGCAGGTGTTAAAAATCTTTTTATTATAGGATGAATGCATTTAACCAGGCAATGTGGCAGCTATTAGACATTTTATACATTCAATAATATAATAAAAATAAATATTTTCAAAAAGGCACAAAACTGCTATCTTGATTTTATAACAAAATGAACGATAAGGTTGGGTCATTAATAATTTAATAAATGAAGAGATAATAAAATCAGTCCAATAATAAAACAACTTGGGCTCCCACATTCTATTCCTAAAAATAAAAGTACTGAATATTACAAACCTCTTTCACTCAAGGGCCCAATTGTTTCAAAGCTGCCCTGTCCACTGTCTGAAGGATTGTCTGCTTCTTGTGAAACGATTTTTGGATCATTGACTTCTAGGTGAACCTAGAAAATGAGAATAAACTTTGCATTAACCAGCAGGTGACAGAAAGCTCCGGGTACATAATGATACACAAATCATTGAATCATCAAGGTGAAACAAGGAAAGAATCAATACAATGGTTCAATGACAGGATGACATTTAGAATTACTGGGTGAAAAACAACAAAAATTTATTGTACAGCTTTGGACGATACTAATAGAACCGACTCTTTGAATAATGGCAAATACATGAAAAGAATCAAGGATTTATTATGCTTTTTCTATGTGAACAGTTCCTCAATGTATCCAAATAACTGATGAGAGGAAATTTCTCTTTAGAGAAATATACTATTTAATCAATGAAGTAATGATAGAATTAGAATATCACAATTTTAGCAACCCTCGATTATATAACAGACCTACACAGTGACCATTAATGGCTGCTAATGTCACCAAGAGAAACCACCAGACATTATGTGCAGCCTAACAGAAGTACTCAACACCACCTACGAAGCATTCTTGCCAGAACAATCAAATCTGAATCTGATCAAGTCTCTAGTTCTAACTACCCATTTACAGGAAATAGAGGGAACAGAGGAACATGTTAAATAATGCCACACAGATGCAATGTAGATGTGGAAAACTCTACGGGACAAACTAGGTGGTTTCTTTAACAATGAATTTCAAGCAAAAAAAAAAAGAAAGGTAGGAGGACCTATAGGTTAAAGAGAGGTAATATACAAGACACATACAAAATATATTTATCAACAATTGCAACATGCATTTGAATCCTGATTCAAACAAAAACTGAAAATATATGTATGAGCCAAAGAAATCTGAACATTGACTAGGTATTTTTTAGGTGTGGTAATAAAATTGTGGTTATTCTTTTTTGGAAAGCCATTGTCTTTTAAAAGTGAACACTGAAGTATTTGTGGATGAAATAATATGATGTCTGTGATTTTCTTCCAAATAACACAGTGAGGGGGAAAGTGGGTAAGGGTATAAATGAATCAAGATTGGTCATGATTTGATAATAGTTGAAGTTAGGTGATGGATTCATTGTACCGGTCTTTCTACGTTTCTATAGGTTTGAAAATTTCTAAATAAAATGTTTTAAAAAGTCACAAGTAAAAATCTAAGGAGGAGGTGTGTTAGATGACTTGATCAGTTAGTGACCAAGCTGATCCTAGATGCCAGGTCTCTTACCTCGATGTTCTCAAGGCTCTGAATCAACTCATTAATAAAGGAGAAAATACTAACATCTGTATTGTAGTAGGGCACAAGGCCTTACCCTAGTGGTCTCTCAAACTATTAAATAGATTTGAATGCTTGATACAATTACTAAAATAATAACCAAAGAATCACCGAGGATTATAATGTATGTGATGATGATCTCCCAACAATCTAAAGCAGTAAGGCTATTAGTTTTGTTTGTGGGTGTGGAAACCTAGTTTAGATAACCACACAGCTCAATGCATGGTGATACTTGTAATCATGATTCTATTCTAAGCAATTTGCAGCAGTATCAGCAACGTTAAAGGGCAAGGCCAGGAATAGGGTGAGGCGAGGGGGTGGAGGGTCCCTAAAAAATTCAGTAATTAAGACAAATTATATCTTAGGCTTAATACAATATATTTTTTAAAAAAACCAAATCAGTCAATTACGGGACATGAGGTCAGCTGCCTGCTTTTGCAAATATAATTTTATTGGTACCAGGGCTGGGATTAGGGTGAGAGGAGTGAAGCAAGGTTGTAAAGAGTTGGATCTTGTCTTTATTTAGAAGCCTGATATTTTGTTCAGTATCAAATCATGAAATCTTTGGCATTAATTTTGTTTCTTTAAAATACTGCACTAAAATATGACTTTCATTTGATTACTGAGTTTTTTGGCGCCCCTTTATATTTTGCGACTAAGGCGAGTGTCTTGCCCTAGGCCCCGCCCCAGAAAACAACCCAGGTCTGGAAACCTACGTTCTCTGTGCCCAATTCCGCCAGCGAGCAGCCGTCAGCCACCAGCCGGGAGCCCGAACTGTTACGTTCCCACTAGGGGTCCCGTCAGAAAACGCAGGCGCCAGCGCGCGATGACCTCACAGGCCCAATTCCGACCTCCCTAACACCCCCACCCTCTGTTTAAAGAGCATCCTGCCCTGCATCTCCGCGGCCTCTTTTTGGGGGCGCTCTAAGAGGAGGAGCTCCCGCGGCCGGAAACGCGCCAAAAAGGAGGGCTGGCTTCAGGGACAAGCTGAGGAAGGCTGGGCGGCCGGCAGCGCGCTCCGCAGACACCGGGACTACCGCGACCACGGACCCGAGCGCGGGAAGCGGAGCGGCGGGAGGGGCGGGAGGTCGCGGGTCCACCCGGGCGGAGCCGCGAGGCCGCCGAGCCGCGCTGGGCGCGCCGGGAGCTGGAGTGCTCCCAGCCCGGGGGCACCAGCTCTGTCCGGCTCTACCCTTCCTTGCTCACCTCACCCCTCGGCGCCGGGCCTCCGCTGCCCCGGCGGGAGGCTTGTGCATAAACTCACCTCAGAGCCCACCTCGCCCGTCATGATTCCGGCCTCTCCCGCGCTCCGCTCGGGACCAAGCCGTCTCCAATTCCCCCAGACAGGGCGCAGCTGCTCCCGCCTGCTCCAGCCGGCAGCGCCTTTCGAGCTTTCGCGCCTAGCCGGAGAGGAAGCCACACCTCCGACGACTTGCACCAATCCGAAGGAGGCTTTCCATCTGAGGCCCCGCCCCCAAGCGTCCTACCAATCAGGAAAGGCCTCCGGCCGGCCCTGTAAATCTAATCGGCCTTGGGTGGGCGAGTCGCTGCTGCTGTTGCCAGCTGAGCCTGGGCAAAGCTACAGATGTCCTGGATGCGGGGCGACCCGGCCGTCTGGCCTTGCAAGAAGGTAGCGTGCGAGGGGTGATCTTTGACCCTTGCCATAGCTCGACGGCTCGCATCAAGTGCAATTTGAGGAGTGAGCCCACTGGGGGGTGGGGGGAAGTGAGCTGGAAGAAGGTTCCCGGGTACCCGGCGGTGGGGAGGATGTCCTGTACCTGATTCTTTTCAAAGGGAGTCTGGTCCCCCGTAGGAATTTTCTCCACTAACTTCAACCTGGAGCAGCTAGATTCTGTCTGCCTCTTCTTGTACATGACACTGCCTATAGAATATAAAAAACGTTTTGCGGGCTGCTCAGATACTCTACGCTCTTTATAATTTTATTTAGGGCTAATTTGAGAATGCAGAAAGCACCCATCCCACTCCTAGAGGGCTTTCTATCTTTGGACAAAGCTGGAAAAGGAATAAAAACTTTGGAGTCAGACTTATCCTAAACGATTCTAATCCCACTTTTGCCACTGTGCTGGCTATTATTTTTTCGCCCGTCCAGGTCCTTTGTCCTTTCTTTAGCCTGGTCTGTGTACAGGAAAGGCTGACCTCTCCTGACTATATTACCCCAGCTCCCTTGTCCTCTGGCTTCTGTCTGGGTCAGGCCACTGTTAGGCACCTTATAAGGTTACTGTAAGGAGGAGATCAGAGGGCATCAGGAAAGAAAGATCAGAGTATTTACTGTTCCACTTCACCTCCCCATGATCATATCCACTGGGAGGGTGACAAACTAGGCTCAGTTTGCCCAGGAACTTACCCGGTTTTAGCACGGAAAGTCCTCCATCCTGGGAACCTCCTCATAGGCATACCATGATGGTTGTTCACCATTTCCACTGGCCTCCTCTTCTAAGTTTCCAGCTTTAGCTGGGTTTAGGTAAAAGCTCCTTTTCCTCATCTTCATTTCTTCACCTCTTCACTATCTGTCAACCCACTTCTGCCCCCACCAAGAGCCCACCACCCATCCTCTTCTCCTTTCTTGTCTCAGTCTATCCACCTACCTTTTCATCCACTTTACTATTAATTTCTATATTGATGGTTCCAAAATATGTATCTATTGCACTCCCCCCCCTCATATTCGTAGGGCTAACGTTTATTGGGGCTTACTCTGTGAAAGAAACAGTTGCAAGAATTTTACAAGCATTATCTTATTTAATTTTCAGAGTAAGCTTGTAAGGTAAGTAATATTATCTTCTTTTTAGCAGATGAAGAAACCAAACTTTTAAAAGGTTAGTAACTGATGGAGCCAATTTTCACACCCTACTCTGTGTGACTTCAAAAGTCATACTCCTCAGAGTGACCTCGCCTTAGCATCCTCTACATTCTCCCTCCTTTCCATGTTTTGGTTTCCTGATAATATTTACCTCTACCTGAAATTTTATTTATATATATTTGTCTATTGTCTCTCCAAAAGCATAGGTACTTGGTTTTCTTTATCTCTATATCCTCACTATCTAGAATAGTCATTCTCAAACTTGATCATGCTGTAATACAGAATGATCTGTAAGGCTGATAAAAACACAAATTGCTGGACCCCACCCCCAGAGTGTCTGATTCAGTATGTCTGAATAGGTTCCAAAATGTGTATTTCTAACAAGTTCCCAGGTGACGTTAGTGCTGCTGATCTGGAGACCAACTTTGAGAACCAAGAGCTTAGAACATCCCTGATTCATGGTAGAGAAACTGATAAACATTTGTTGAAATAATTAATTTATTCACTTGGCCATATTATTCTTCTTGAACTCCCTCTGAAAGTGAATAAATGAAATAATACTCTTTATATTAGTACTTTCGGATCTCTTTGGGGAGGACCACTTCACTTCTACAGAAGCTATGAGAGAGAACTTGAATTTGGACAATGGGTGGACAGGGGTGAGTTAGGAAAGGGAAACATTTTATTCATTTTTTTTATTGTGGTAAAATATACATAACATAAAACTTTCCATCTTAACCATTTTAAAGTACTCTGTGCAGTTCAGTAGTGTTAAATACATTCACATTGCTGTGCAACCAATCTTCAGAACTCTTTTCATCTTGCAAAACTGAAACTCTGTACCCACTAAACAACAGCTCTTCATTCCAGCCATCCTCAGCAAAACCTTTATTCTACACATTAACCTGTGCCAAGCTAAAGTGAGTCTGTATTTGGAATTAGCAGCCTGAATTCTCGATTTTGGTGAATGGCACCATAGTCCATCACTCAACACCCCAGAAACCTGGAAGTCACCCTTGATTCCTCTGTCCCTTGCCCCTCAAGTTTAGTCATCCAACAAGCCTTGTTTATGAAGTCAATAGATGGCAACAATGGAAACATCTGGAATGTTCACTTTACAGGGTTAGTCCCATAGATAACTTTGTAACTTAGGTAAGTCATTTAGTTTCTCAGAACCTTGTTTTCCTTATTTGTAACTAGAAAATATTGGATCAGATCATGATTCTCAAATGGGTTTAATTGCTAGGACACCGGGAGGTATAGTACTCCACAGGAAATACTTGGTAGTACTGACACTCTTAATCTGGTCATATAAATTAGGAAACATTTTCACTAGTAGGGTATATCATTAAATTGCACAAAGGGGTAGCCAGTCAGTTCAATTGGTTAGAGCATGGTGTGATAACACCAGGGTTCAGGATTTGATCCCTGTACCAGCAAGCTGCCAAGAAAAAAAAAGGATATTACATACAATCAACATTTAAAAAGCAATTCTGAAATTACATGTCCATAAAAATGGAAAATAAGCCATGAAATTTAACAAGCTCAGCTCATTACAAAGTGTTCTATTTATATTTACTCTTTGGCAGACAAGCAAAAGCAGATATCAAAAGCTTAAGAAAGTTTGGAAGGAGATAGTTGACTAAATAATATCTTTTACTTTTTTTCTGCAAATTGAGAAAGTGTACTATGTTACATTTTTAGGACTACTTTTCCTCTGGAATAAAGTTTGAGAACTTGCTTTTCTCAAATCCGGGGCCTTTAAATTACCTTCATTCCTGGAAAAGCACTGCCACCATGTGGCACATTCTGGTCATGTCATTCCACCTATTGCCTGTAGCCACTCTGTCCTAAAACCATGGGGGGGAACTTCGTATAATGTATGCTATACGAAGTTATTACGGTCTGCCAGAGTTTTGTAACAAATCCGGGGCCTTTAAATTACCTTCATTCCTGGAAAAGCACTGCCACCATGTGGCACATTCTGGTCATGTCATTCCACCTATTGCCTGTAGCCACTCTGTCCTAAAACCATGGGGGGGGGTGGGGTGTCACTTTAAGATTATTCAAAGAGGTATTTAAACTTTCCTTTGGTGGGCTGAAATAGCTGCACCTCCCAGCATCTGGTTTCAAAAATAATTTCATACTGTAATTTCATATAGTTATAAAGCTTCTCTTAGAAGCTGGCCTGAAGAACAGATATTTTTCTTGCTTAGCATAGTAGCCCTAACATTTAAAATGGCACAGGACCTGAAACATAGGCGATGCTTAATAATTATTGAAACAGTGGATGAAATACTATGGCCTAAAAAGCAAAAACAAGGGCCGGCCCGGTGGCGCACTCAGTAGAGTGCGGTGCTCCCGCCGAGCGTTGGGATCCCATACAGAGACCGGTCCGCTCACTGGTTGAGCGCGGTGCGGGCGCAACACCGAGGGTTGCGATCCCGTTACCGGTCACGAAAAAAGACAAAAAGGAAAAAAAAACAAAGCAAAAACAAAAAATACCAGCACCTTTCCCCGTGTATAAAAGCACACACATCATCAGTTATTCTGTGTGCAAAAGCTTCTTAACCACAAATTTGGGCAAACCAAAAGTACCTATAAAATATTCATCCAGTCATTCAACAAACTTTGAGCGGGTATATTAAGCCTATGCTAGACAAGAAGAATATAAAGACAAATAAAATACAGTCTTCTTCTCAGAGAGCTTCCCACTACCAATTGGAGACAGGCAAGCAAACAAGTGTGTGAAATATGGAAGTTTGTACAAGTAGCTGTTGGGTACTTGAGGGAGGGGCAACTGACCGTGACTGGGGTAAGTCTGGGGGAGATGACTCATGAACTGAATTTCAAAGATGAATTAGAGTTTTCCGGGCTGGCACCGGGAGAGGAAGGCATTCCAGGTATATGTAGGGGCTTGATAAATCATGTTGTGTTTGGAACTGAAAGTAGGTCAATACGAATACAGCAAAGTGTTTGGTGGGGGTGGGGGGGCAGCCAGAAAGAAGGCTGAAATTTAAACAGGGAACAAAAGGTCTGGAATGCTCTGCTTAGAGTTTAATTTTTAGACAGTGTGAACTGGGCAGCTGGAGAGTGGGGGGGATGGAGGGGCTTGTTAAGAAGCATGAGGGCTGGCCGGTTAGCAAAGTTGGTTGGAGCCTTATAACACCAAGGTCACCAAGTAAAATTGTTCAATTATACTTCAGTCACATATGCCTCAGCCATTCTAGGGAGACTCTATTCATGTATGTACATTTGGGGAAAAAAATTCTACCACATAAGGACAAAGGCAGTCTGGTCTTGTTCCTACTTTCTATTAAATTTTCGCACCTGCTTATGGATTAGTTAATGCCTAACCCCCTTCAGACATGCCAGATAATTCAACTGTACCTAGAAGAACAGAGTCTTATAGGAATATAGTAACTTCTTAAAGTACAATATAGTTGGAGTGGGGGAAGGAACACTTCCTG